GTACCATACTCAGTATCATCAGTGTCATAGTCAGTAACATACTCACACCCTATCTTCGGCAATTATAGCAGAGATATAAAGAGACATGACACCATGATAATGAGCCTAACCTTAACAAAAGTGAACAATATAACTGAAAGGACAAGTAAGCAATAGAATGGGGACCCCATCACTTAAAACTTCTACTAGAAACTAGAACAGTTACACTAGAATAGCTAATACACTAGAATACAAGAACTTCAAGTTCATGACTTTTGTGAATTATAGCATCCACGTGTGTAAATTTGATTGGTAGATGACTGATTCTCACTGTGTACTAGTGAATTAAGTCACATGACTACAAGTTAGTTAATAATGTTAATAATAATTAATTTGTATTCATAATAATGAACCTTATTATTTATTGTGTTTAATTATTGCTGCTATAATAATTAAAATTATAATATTATTATAATCTATTATACACAAACCGTAAAGAATTAATAATTATTGCCAATACATGTTTACTGACTAGTGTAATCATAAGGCACTAGTAACAGCATAGTTTATACTGTAATTGATAATAATAGCTAGACAAGAGGTTTTGTCAAAACAAAATATCATAACAAAAAAAGCAAAAAGCACAAATTATAAATATAAAGGGAAATGATTGCTGCTGTTATACAGATAATTGGGCCCACGCTATTTGTCCTTAATACATGTACAGTGACAAACTTGTCTACTATACAGCACTTAATATTCAAGATACTATTATAACAAAAAGACCCGTTTGATTAACACAGTGACAATATTGACATATTGTATGATGCTGCATTGACAAATTTGCCACAACAGCTTGATTATGCTGAGTCATCATCATGACATCAGCCACTCTCCAATGCCCATTTATAGTATGGTCACGTGATTAGTAGTGAAACAAACAATGCCTGTGATATTTTATACATGCATTATGATACTAGTATCTGAACACTGAACAGAGTGACAAATTGATAAATTGTTCTTTTTTGATGGAAAGCAAAAGAGAGGTTTAAGTGTTCGTATTAATAATAAAAAAATATATTATGAAGAGTCTAAATATGCCGTGGTAGGTTTTTATCATTTCTTCATATGATCATCATCATAAGTAGTGAAGGATTTTTGTCATCTCTAAACTTGAGCAAAAAGGTTCCGAAATCTGTAAGGAAAAACAAGGTCACTATATTAGATATACACATATTTTTATAACCTTACTTGTTAAAGTCCTGTTAAATGATGCACACTAATTTTGCCGCCAGCAAGAAATACCGTATGCAAACAAAATTTTGTGTAATAAAATTTTGTGAATGATTGACAATTAATTTTGTTTCTGCAGACTATCTAAATTAAATTCTTAATTCTAATAATAATTTTAACTTGTAAAATTCTTTGCAATTTGTCATTAAGCCCAGAATTAGATTGATGCTATTATGAAGCTGTGAAAATATTCATGTACAACAAAATTTTGCTGCATACACAGTATTGTGACACCCACATCCACTCCAGGTATAATTGATCAGTTATGGCAAGAATCAACTCAATAAAGACTTTTATAATACAATAATAATGAAAGTTTATAATGAAAGTCAAAAAGTGCCACAGTACCAAGTCTACCAGTAGTACCACAGGTCAAGTAGACCTTGTGGGTCTTGAGCTGCAAAAGGCTCTGGCAGCACTGGACGTATGGCCAAAGCAAATATAACGGCAAAATGTGGCAGGATAAGACTAAAAAGAAATATTCAAAGTGTCGTAATGAAACAATTTTAAAAGGATAATGGCACACTGTGCAGGGAGATACCCATTATCTCTAAGTAAGGGAAGGATAGTGGCAAGAATATGCTCTACACCATCAGAACCAGCATCATCTTGAAAAGAGCCACCTCCTGAATCATCCGGTGGCACACCATTCCCATACCCTTGTATGGCCTGTAGCTGTAGTATAAGATAACTAGACACATTAGTAGGAGCTACTGACCTTAACAAATAACAGGACAAATAACAGGACAAATAAGGAATAGCGGTGGAATTCCATTCTCCTAACTAAAAATATCAACTGCTAACCCAACGCTGAGTTTATATAAACAGTATCTTCAAGCAACCATGTGTATCAATTTCATTGGCTGTAATTTAGTGACGTCAGTATTAAGCAGCATATTTCAAATTTCTAATACGCATCGTGACTTAATTTAAAGTAACTATCACACAGATAGAATTACTGTGGGTCAGATGCATACCAGCATAATATTTGTATAAAACAAACTTTATAGTAAATACACTGTATGAATAATTGAACATTAATACAATAATATCACTCAGGGTATAGACCTCTTGGTGCTAAATATAGTCATAATGTTACCGTAATAATTTCTAACTTTTAGCCCCACCCATTAGGTGTGGTTTTCATTGTAGCAGCCATTTTGGTGTCCAACATGGCCTATCTTTTACATGGTAGAAAATAGTTTTCCTCTTTTTCCGGAGCTGATAAGAATAGATATAATGCTGAAATAGAATGGATCAGTGGTCAGAAGTACTGTGATCAATCAGACCCATACCAGATTCGTCGAGAAGTGGCCTCAGTTGCAGTCAGCTTGGGGTCATAGAAAGCAATGAAGGCTTATAAAAGTTTGGATTCATATAAATGCTCGTATAAATATTACAACAGGTAGGTTGTTGGACAGTTGCTATGTCTTTATTTTGCTGGCCATAGTGGATAAGGGTTCAAACTGTTCTGCTACATTGTATATATATCTGACAAATTGATAAGATTGTTACTGTGCTACTTAAGTAAATTTATGTAAATCAGTTTTGGAAATACTTGTTTTAGAAAAAAATTATTACTGGAAAATAATAATACAAACAAAATATATAATAATCAGTAATAAAACCACTTTAAGACAATATGCATGTATGGACAGTATCCCCAATGCATTAAGTTGTGGTGGAACCATTCACTGTGACAGTTAGGACGTACCATTGCAAGCAATCATCTTTCCCTTGTGTTCCCTGCAGAAACAATATGTACCAACTTCATTCCTTGTTTGTAGCACTCTGTTTCTTGTCCTGTTGGCATTTAGAATATCAGCAGTGAACCCATTCCTTTGAGTCCAAACTGTAATGACTTCTTTGGCTCCGGCTAGCTAGCAACAGCCCCTCTTGTATCTTTGTAGAGCATTTGTTCTATAGGCTTGTTTTCAATTCAAAATACTGATAGTACATTATCTATTATTCTTGGGATTATTATGGTGTTTTTACAATAATAAAACTCGTAAGAACTGACCTACCTGTGACTGTCTGCTGGTCTACTTCGTTGATAACCAGTTCTGATAGTAGCTATACACCTATCTTTCCACGGAGAAACGATAAAAAGACAAGTTCTGTCCTTTTTTATGACGTGAATGACAGCCAACTGCATAACAAGAAGGCCATTACTGTTGTATTTTGGACACCAAAATGGCGGTTTTGAAATTTTATGAAATTTTTTTCTCATTAGAACAATACGGTCTATTCATGAATATATTTAGCACCAAGAGGTCTATAACATCGATTAGCTACACAGCCAAGAAATTACATTATGATACTGAGCTGTAAAGTTAACATTAATGTAACTTTAATGATTACAGTCCTGATTCGCTCATGATTTAACCCCGGTCTGATACGTTGCTGTATACAAAGAAGATACTTACTGTAATGCTACACTAAT